TACATTTTGTGCCAACAAGTTCCAATTAATTCCTTTTGCTATCAAGTTCCTCTCTGACACTTCCCTTTGATGTCCCTACTCCTTACCTTGCAAAAACTAGTGACTAAACATTCCTTAGTCAGCTTTCTGTGCCATTCACAGCAGCCTATGAAGCTGTTGCACTTCTCCATCACCTTTTCCAGCCTGTTGAGTCTGCTTAGTCTCTCCCCGTAGAGAGCCAGACTAACCCCTGGATACCTGTCATGCTCCTCTGTACTTCTAAATCCTTTTCAGAATGACTGTGTGCAGGAGAGGGAGGAATTAAATCAACCCGCCCCCCCTCCAGTATTAAAAAAAGTGGTTTCTCAGGTTTGTACAGTAAAGCATGTTTTATTCTTTACGCCTTCAGACATTGACATCTTGTTTTGTATTTTTCATGGCTACGAATCTGCTCCAGTGACCCTACAATATTTCAATGATAGTAGCTAAATTAAAGCCCATCACTTGTGTACAGAAAGGCATGGGTTTTCTCCCTTCTGTTCCAAGACTGCAATACAGTGAAGGCAGAAATTGATCTTCTTTATAGATAAAAATGTTTATATACTACACATCTTATACAGCAGACAAGAAAGTTGGTATTTGACTTGCCATTTTAAACAGATGTACATGTTAACTCCCCTGCATCTTATCTCTTCCACTTTTTCCCCTTTCCCCTTTCCCCTACTTTGTGTACAGAGCCTTTAAAGCAGGAAATGAAAAGCATTTCCTCCATGCATTTTGAGTGCTCCCACTCCCTGCCACACTGCACTTCCCACTAGATTTTACTTATCTGCATAATACACGTACAGACATATAGGCCTCCAGAAACTTAAACTTTCCAGTAAACAATATTAAAGCTCTCACTTTCATTTTAATTTAGCTTTCTTTTAATCCTGCGGATTGTGTTCATCTAGACTAGCATCTCAGTGACTGGACGCACCTCAGCAAGTTGAAGGTGATGAAGACCATAGCCTTCTGCATAGAAGATAATACATTTTGTGGTATAGAGTCCCACCCCTGTTTCCCAGATGCTAATGCTTCAGTGTCATTGATGCCACCTCTAAGAGGCAAATAATACATACCATCACTGCCTCTCACATCATCATCTCAGAGGGAATGGAGGAAGTGGGGGACTGACTTTGAAAAAAACACTGCCAGTACAGGAGGTCACAAGTCACTTATATAGACAAGTGTCCATAAAGGTTTGTCCAAATACCACAGCTTATTTTTATGTAGCCTCTTTTATCATCTTTTAGTGTACTAAGAGGGCTGTTCTCCTACTGGCTCAGTGCAGCATACTGACACAGGGATTAAGGTCTTCAGCCAAGTTTACAGCCTGGGCTCTGAAGCTTAATTTAAGGTTGCCACACCTTGGAGCCGTGCAGCTGGGGCTGGAAACCCTTTCTGAAACTGGCCCAAGTGAGATATTTCTAGGACTGAGTGTCCTCAGCTGGATCATTTGTTGCTACCTAACACTCTTCTTCCTCTCTGGCTCTCTTTATAAATCCCAAGAAACTCCTCTTGGCAGTTCAGTGATGATGTTATTGACAAATGCTTTACTATAATCTTTGCCATGCCCTTCATAGATAGTCTGAGTATCCAAGAGCACTCTGTGCTTCTCACGTACCCTGACGAGGAAGGAGCAGAGATAAAGCCCCAGGGCTCTTCTAACTCCACTTCCAATGCACATTCTGTGCATAAATGTGCACTTCAGGGATAAAAGCATTAAGACAAGACAGTAAGAGATTTCTACAAAACCTGCCAGTTCTGCCCATGATTGAAGATAGTCTAGCAGGTCAATAAAGTTAGTGGCAAATGGTTTTCCAATAGTTAGTTGTGGGTTTTTTTGTTTTGTGGGGTTTGTTTCTTTCTTTCTTTCTTTTTAAAGAAAAGTCCCCCTCCCTGCCCCAGGAAAGGGGGCTGGAAGTTGCATGGACTTGCTGGAAGTCTGAATATCCTTGTACCACTGGCAAGAGCACAGCTACTGCAGCCACTGGAAAGGCCAAAATGAATGGCTCTGATAAAATGCTTACCGCTACATAGGGCAGATAAATATATTTATATATATTTAAAACCTGTTCCCATCAGTTTGACCATTTCTTAGGGTCCAGCATGCAAGCTGGTACAAGCCTGCAGGAGTTCTCGAAGTCTACATGGTCACAAGGCAGTCCGGTCACCTTAGCCTGAGACCCAGGCAGCAGACACAAGCTAGGCAGCATAAAGGAGTGAGCTCCCAGGCTTTAGAGGAAAGCAGACTTGCTTGAAAAGTCGCTCTGAGCAGTGCTTTGAATCAATGCCTGGAGAACAGACAAACAGATACCAGCTTGGTGAAACACCTGGGCTAGCAGGCCTATCAACCTCAAATACTCACTCACTATTGAGGGAGAAAATTATTTTTTTAATTGACTTTGTGACCAGCCCTTGACAAGAGTTATGAAATATTATGCTTTTGTTTATGCGCTCTCTGGTTCTCCAGAAACACAGGAGGAGAGCTGGCTTAGCCTGTAGGTGTATGCACACACAGTGTAGTCAGATTCAACACTTGTTAAATAAGAAACCAAATCAACAGGGAAATATTTGGAAGCATTTGAGTGATTATAACAGAGCAGGAGGAGAGAAAACAAGATCACTAATGAGAACTGTATGTCCCTTTAACACCAAGCATAATAGGGTTGTTTGCCTCCCAAGGCAGCGATTTTTAAAGTCATACCCTCTGCAGAGCAGCTTAAATTCTGTTTAAGTGTGCTTCCTCCCACACCAACATTTATGAGCTTTCTGCTCAGATTGGATGCTGACACCACGCCGTATCTCTGCATACCTGCACGGGAAGCTGAAAGCACAGATGGGGAGAGCTGAGTTCTTCTGCTGGGTAGAAATCCTTCAAATCAAGAAGGGAGATGAGGAACATTTGCCTCCTGAGGAAGATGCTGCAGTGTGAAGAGCATTGCCCAGCAGTGCTTGGTAGAGGGCACACAGAGCAAAGTGTGGCTTGGCTTAACCCACAGTGGAAGAGGGCTCAGCTAAGCTGAGCTATGGGGAGGGTACCCTTCCTCCAGGAGAGCTGGCCTTAAAAAGAAACAAAACAAAAGCAAAGCTCTTCCATCACAGTCTAGGTTGAAAAGCAATGAGTTAATCACACAGCTTTGCACAAGGGCAAGGCAAGGGCTCCTGCACATCCTCAGCTCTGTTGGAGGACGCAGGCCCTGTGCTTGCAGCAGGTGACAGCAGGGAACGGCCGCGCAGCGTGGGTGCAGCGGTCTGGAAGGGGGTAAAGCCCAGCAGGCTGAGCCACAACAGCTTGTCCCTAGGTTCATTTTAAAAATCGTTTTTGCATTCAGGGTGACACTCCAATTCAGGTCATTACAGCACCATGCCCTTGCCATGACTTTGAGCATGCCTAGCGATGAGCGGTTCAGCCAAGATAAGCCCACTCCAGTGCAGGCAAGAGCCTGGTGTGCATTTCCAGCTCCTGCTAACCAGCCCTGGAGCTGCTGTGCTAATTCTGCTCCCGCAGTTGTTGGCTGTGCTGCACGTTCCTGAGGAGAGAAATCATCCCCACCTCCTGTTGCTGATCGCTTTGGGGGACCTATTTTTATCTCAGTGGTGTGATGTGGTGGAGCACCAGCAAGGATGCCAATGAGAAGAGGAGGAAAGCACACACTGCATGCCAACAACCTGGCTACAGCACAAGTCTGCGAGCAGAGCCGGTAGCATGTCCCCTCCTGAAACAGATTGCTTTTTAAAGCAGTGAGCTACAGCATTCTCCAGTTTGTTGCCAGAGCTGGTGTCACCCAGTAACTCAGGGGCACTTCAGCCTTTTCATCACTCTTCCTCCAACACTGTTACAGTATTGGATGTGGAGAAACATTTAAATGCTTAACAGGCAGGAGGAGGCACATCGGTAGGACAGGGCTGTTTGTTGTGCTTTAAAAGCAGCAGCAAGCTGTCTGTCTCACCCAAGACTACAGCTCTGTTTAAGCTAAGTACATGCATAAGAAATTAAGTAATTCTGTCTGCCTGGAGAAACTCAGTGCAGAACATGGAAGATAAAAAGCAATACTTCATTCCAAGGATGGTAAGGGAGAGACAGATCAGATTAAGCATCATACCCAACTGCATAGGAAACCTGCAGCATCAGTATTAACAGACCTCTGCTCCTCCAAGCCAACCCACTGCTCCTAGCTACAAGAGGCTCTTCCTTCCCTTGGCTCTGCTCACCAGCCTCCCTCCCTCCCTCCTCCCTGTGTACACACACACTCTTCCCATGACAAAATCCAGAGAGCTGTGTCCACTTGCACCGAGATGTTAGGAGACTCAAACTTATTACCAGGCACCACCTGGAGCTGCTCCTGACCCGAACCAGCTCCACCACCTTCTGCAAACCAAGCGCTGCAGCCTCTGGCACTCAACAGCTCCCCGCGGTTCTGCAGCCTCCCTGCGTGCACACCTGCCCCGTTAGCTTTGTGGGCAGCTTCACCGGCTGCTCCTGTGCCGAGGTCTCCAGTGGACTGCCACTTCCCTGCGGCATGCTCTGTTCAGCATTTGAGGAGAGGCATAGCATGCTTAGAGACAGTTTTGTACAAAAGTCAGGAACAGTCAGCATGGACAAGCACTTCCCGCAACAGGATGGCAATCGTATGAAGGTCAGATAAAGGAGCCAACGGTCAGTATCTGGCTCAAAGAGCACCCAGGGCTTTCAACCTTTTGTATGAAGGCGTATGTAAAAGCTGCATGCAATGCTACAGCCTCCACCTCTGAGAAAGATTTACAGCTACAGAGCTGAGCAATTCTCTGCATAAACTGCCTGGCCACGAAAGCCATTGCAGCCCTCAGAGAGCCAGTGGTCAGCAGCCAGTTGTGTCAGATCCAAGGGTATGGATCCAGCCAGCTCCCAGCTTATTTGTGGGGATGATCTGGCTACCATACAAGTCATGACTTGTTTTGTTAACTGGTTCCGTTTCAGAAGAAAGTTCTCCCTTAGTTAGCACCTGTACTAACATTTCTGTGAGGTCAGTGTGGGATTATGAATGATGCCACAAGGGAGAAAGACCAGCAGCTGCAGCACAAAGCAGGAGTCTCCAAGTGCTCTTCTGACCTGAGAGTGGAGCATTATCCACAACGTGCTCTTTTCTTTAATATATATTTTAATTTCCTGCTCATAACTGCAGCACACTTTATTCAGGACACAGAAAAAAAAATTTAAATTTATTCCTGTCAGCAGAAGTCCTCCATTTTCTGCTGGCAGCGACAGAATAATATATAGGATGGGCAGAAACACGAAAACTCTGTCCAGTTTAGGTTTTCCCTCTTTCTTAAGAAATGCTGTGGGACAATTGCAGCTGTTCACTAAGTGGAGAATTACATACTTGGCTGTACGTATGCACATGCAGGGAAGGAGGAGGGATAAAGCTCTGGAAGACAAAGGTTTTGCATCAGCAGTTTCTCAGTGCAACTACTTTGAGCCAAAGTGAAACATTTCTCTAGAATGACAAATCAGTTCCTTTAACATGGAAAAAAGACTTGCAGCTACCTGGTGGCTCTTTGAAATCTCTCAAATCCCATCAGATTAAACAAGCTGAAGTGGTGGATTTCTCCATTTGCCAATGAAACTATAAAGTCAAATTCACCTTGACCTGAGAATCCTCAGCAGG